AGGGGTAATAAATCATAGAAATTACAAATATTCTCTAAGTTTACAATTGAAGCTCTTGAAGTAATTTTTATATTTTGCATTCAATCAATATCTTTACTCCTCCTTCCTTTCATTCCCTTCTAACCCTTTTTTTTTCCTTTTATATTTGCACATATTTTCTTTTTTTTTTTCTTTACACATAAGAGATGTAGAGGAAAATTTATCAAACAATTCAACAACTCAATTACTTCATTTATAAACTCAAGGTCAACAAAATATTTTATAATTTCAATGCAAGGGACCAAGAAAAATCAATAAAACTCAAAGTGGGCAACTAGTCGTATCTCAAACATGTTGAAGGCCAAGAATAAAAATTCTATATGCCTCAATCATATCAAAAAGAGTAGTCTCAAGCTGATTACAAGTCAATTTCTAAAACACAATTCTTAAAGAGATAATCACACAAAATAAAAAAGAAAGAGGTATAATTAATTAAATTAGAATAAAAATTTTCTCTAAGACTCAAAACTCATATATATGGATTAAAGTTTAATGTAGAGCAGAAAAGTAAAGAACTTTACTAATTGTTAGTTGTTAAATGAAAATCTTATTCCAAGAATAATCACTTAACATGCTCTTTTATTTAGAAAAAATGGGTTCCTTGAAGAAAAAAGTTTCAAATTATCATAAAAAAGGGCACAGACATTTACTTAAGAACATGCAACAATAATTATATTATTGAGAACTTAAAAACTTGTTCATGAAATATCATCACACAAAGATTGCTTCTAATTATTAAGAATTTCTTAATTCAATTGTTCAAACTTAAAGGATATGAATATAAAATTAATTAACAAGAAATTTAAATAACCTAGCCTCTAACAATAAACTAATAGAAAAGAACTTAGGGTGCATGATTTCATCTTTACACTTCTCTATGTTCTCTTTTAGATTAATTCTAATTTCAATTTTCTTATGATTATCAATTACTCATAATAAATCTATTAATACCCAATGGTCATATAATGTTAACAATCTTTTCTCTAAATTATCACTTCTAATGATCATGCAAGATAAAAGGAAGAGAAAGCATAAAATGTCTGAGTTGTTAATTTAATAATGATTGAAAGAGAAGAATTAAGTTTGGTCTACCTAATCCTTTATCTTGTTTTACCTTATAGATTCATTAACTATATGTGGTATTATCGTCTAAAATATAATTTTTCTATGGTATATTCAAGAGTTGTCAATTCTAACATATAAATATAGCACAATAGAGTAACACCAATCAAGAATAGAAACACGAAATTATCATAAATCATAAAAATTTCATAGCGCCATGCAAAGAATCCATTATAGCCCTAGCAATGATTTAATTAGACATCATATAAAAGGAAATCAAAACAACACTGAACAAATCCAATGGAGAAGAGATGAGGAGAGCTTTTGATTCAATGTGCTTCCAAAGCTCCCAAGTCGTCATCAACTTACTAATACCAAGATTGATGATGTGAAAGTGATGTGTAAAAGTTGTGTCAAGGATGAGATAAAAACAGGATGTCTAGGTTGCTGCCCCTTAAGGTCACTTTTATAGGATTTAAAAACCCTAAAATTGCTTAAGATTTGGGCTTTCTGCAGGTGAGTACGGTCGTGCAAGACCATAAGCATGGTCGTTGTGTAGTTTAAGTACTCCTGTGCTAACTATTGTAGCCTAGGCGTGCTAACTGTAATGAAGCCCTATTTTTCATCTAATTTGTACCTAAAATGCACTAAAAATTTAATTGTGGCTTTCTCATATTAATCTACATAATTAATATATAAATTAGTATAAAACTTAAGTAAAATAATAGTTACACAGAAATATATAGGTTATAAAAGTATGCCAAAATACAGACTTATTAGATGTAGAAAAGGAAAAATAATATTATTTAAAGAAAACTCTTGTAATTTTGATGGTTTTGATATATTATGAACAGATTTATAGATGTTTGTGTGAATATGGACAAAACACATTTTAATTGCATGGCTTCAATATAAGGTCCTTTTATGCAGACCAGGGTGAGAATTTCTAATTCTTTAACCAAAATGTGTTATTCTGAAAAGTCACGAACATTCTTTTTGTTTTTAATAAACTACTTGCTCTCATGGTTCTTTAATGAGGATAAATAAGTTGAATGCTTAAAAATTGGTCGCTTACATCAAGTTGATGCTTCCAAGTAGCCTTTCAACATGAGCGTTTGAGACATATTTAACGTTTTACTTTGAGATAACTGACACTTTTTTCTATAGCATCTTAGTATTGGCATTGTTTACAAAGGCTTGCTTTTTTCAAGCTCGTGAATCCATGCATACTTGTCTTTTCTTAAGTTGACTTGGATATTGGGTTAGATTACTCTCCATTTCATTTTTACGTGAGAATTGGGCATACTATCCAAAATAATATCTAAAGAGGATAATTTTTTTTTTGTCCATAAGAGGCAATTTTTCTAAAATAAAAAATAAAGATATATAATTTTTGATTTATGGGCTGAAAGAAGCATTAAAGTAATAGATATCTCATTTGGAGTAGGAATGTTGTGTACGTGTAAGTCCTAAGAATGTTGGCCCATGTGTTTACTATTATCAACTTTTGAATTTAGACCTACCTTAGTTGAATAAATGAGTTATTGCTTTGAAATGACTTAAATTGTAGGCTTTATGTGTAATGAAATTGCCATAGCTTAAAATGTTTAATAATACATTAGAGAAATCTAAAATTTTTGCTGATAATCAATTTAACCAATTTTGGAGCGATGACAAAAAAAATATATGTTGAGTTTCAATTTTCTTTTAAACATTTAAAATCATAATTTGGTGAACTAGAAAAGGACTGTAACTTGTGAGTATGAATGAAAATTAGCTTAAGTAAATTTTGTAAACCTTAAGTATGACTTAACTCATGAATTTGAGCTTTGACTTATTTTTTTTATATAGATAATTTAAGACTTAACTTTACTATTTCAAAATGATGAAAAGTTTACTTTAAAATAAAATTAATTAGGTTACTTTTTTACCTTTTTGCCCATTTTTACATTACCATAATTTTGTTATAATTTTTAAAAAATATCAAATATTTTGTTAAAATAAAACAAATTATGCATTTTTCTATTTTTTTGTAAATTATGAAATAATTTTTTATTTTATTTTCACTTGTCATTTTTACTAGGTTGCGTTTTTTTCTTTTTATTGTTCTAAGTTTCATTATTTTTCTCTTCTTCAATTGTATTCCAAGCATAGTTACTTTTTAGTTATATAAATTTTATTGAATTTATTATAGAAAACTTAATACGGTTAAAAATGACGTCTTCATTGGCTTTTATTGAATTGTCGATCCCCAATACTTTTTTGAAAATAAGTTTTTGAATTATAATTCTACACTCTTGAAATTATTTTTAAAATTAGGCATTCATACTTTCAGAAAATATTTTTAATTTTTTTAAAAAATAAGTTTCTGAAAATACAATACTGCATTTCTGAAAATAAATTTTTAAAATTAAACTAATTTCTAAATTTATGTTTTCACACTTTCAAAAATTAATTTTTAGAATTACTAACTATTTTTTGAAATAAGTTTCTAAAATCAAGATTTTATGCTTCTAGAAATTTTCATTTCCAAAAATTAATTTCCAAGATTATTAAGTATTTTGGAAATAAGTTTTCAAAATTAATATTTTATACTTTCAAAAATTATTTTCTAAAATTAGTTTTTCCTACTTTCAAAAATTAATTTCCTGAATTATTAACTATTTTCATAAATAAATTTCTACTCTAAAATTATTATTATTATTATTATTATTATTATTATTAATCAAAAAACTTGTTTTATCACTGCGAATGATATTTTAAGAAAATTATAATTTTTTATGAGATGTGAAAAAAAGTGTAAAAAGTAGCTTCCGATTTTTTAAATAATTTTTTGGCCGACTTTAAATAAGTTAAAAATTATATAAAAATAAGTTAATGGGTCTAAATTTATATATACATTAGCAAACTAAATTATTTAAATAAAATAAATATATAATATCAAAATATTAGTATATTACATTAATAATAATAATAATAATAAAAAAAAGTAATAATAATAATAATAATAATAATAATAATTATTATTATTATTATTATTATTATTATTATTTAAATAGGATAATTTATTGGGCCTGAAAGGCTCTTCAAGTTCTTGACTTATTTACTGATACAAGCCTAGCCCTATCTTTATAAACCAAGTAGAAAAATTATTAAGCAAGTGTTTTTTAAAAGAGAGAAATTCCAATTTTATTCTCTACAAACAGGAACTAAGTGCATATTTGGATAGACATTTAGCTCTTAAATTCAAGTTTGAAAATATAAATGTGAATTGAAATTCATAATTATATTATTCATACTAATGTTAGCAATTGTATAATATATAATTAGTTTTATTTCTAAATTTATGTTTGACTAAACGTGACTAATTATATTTTTTGTATTGAGTTAGAAATTTTTATTTAATTTTTTTACAAATCTACCTTTTTTTCAAAAAAATAATAATATCAATTTAAAATATTTTTAAAAAAAATCAATTCTAAAAAGTTAAATTCCTGTCAACTCAAATTTACAAAAGTACATGTATATATACACTAAGTACACGTGTGGATTTACATTTAAATTACTATAATTTTTTACGTTTATTTTAATAAATATACTCTCAATACATATCTTGATTTACATTTAAATGACCATAAACTTTACGTTTATTTTAATATAACTAATTATAATTTTTACATTTGATTCATATTTACATAATTTTCATCATGTTTGCAAACAAGAAGTTTTCTTCCATAACACAATGTTTAAGCCCAGTTCTTCTCCTGAAACACGCATGAGTGTTGCTTTGAAAGCCCTAAACTTTAACGTACAAGTAGCGTACGCTTCCCCTTTTAAGGCAAATCGTTGGTTGGAGTAACCAAATTCACATCCAAAATAATGCCTAACTTCTCTACTCGATGGCAATCACACCCGTAAATACAACTTACACAAGGGACTTCACCTTTACACCTGAATTGGTGACTTCAAACTACAAACAAAAGTATCAATCATTAAATTATTCAGCATGTCCAGAACAGGCTCATGGGTAAGTACTAGGAAATTCACAAGTGTTCTTGCTGTGGTTCATTCCAGTAGATTTCAATCAACCTATGGAACAGTACCAAGAAACAGCCCAATTATGTCTGCAGCTAAGCCGAAGCTCATAAAAATTTTTTACATGATGAATCCTGGCCTACGATTGTTCAGCACCAACAGCAACACAAGCACTGATGCAAATCGGTAACTAATTGCCCACAACCTTGTTTTGTTTTCAATCTTCAAATTTTCAATTTTCAATGTTTAAGTTTACGAACGCGTACCGATTTTAATTTTGAACTTCCTACTTGTAGTGTAAAGAATGTCAAGTTTCTACCACCAGCTCTTGCTTCTCCAAGATTCGACTTCCCTTACTGGTATTATTTACTATCCCGTACAACTGCTATGTTAAGAGTTTGAATTCCAATCACTCGTCGATCCATTGATTTAATAACCATATTCAACCAAAGTAGAATGGAACTGAGAATACTAATTAATGAATGAAATTACAACCATGCAGAAGTTAAATTTTCCTTATGAATGTGCAGGCTAAGATGGGTTTTGGGCTCTACACTTACTCTCTTTTTACCTTCCTTGAAACAAGATTGCAAAAAGCAACATAGAATAGAAGGTATATACACATGGAATGTTAAAGAAATGCTTAACTTTTCCACCTTTACTCTTAAGAATTGATAACACAAATTGTTGACTGGGGGAGATGTTGTATAATAAATTCAGAAGCAGAATTGGTGGTTGAAGAGGTTGAAAAAGTGGCAAATGCAATAGAAAAGGTGGCAATGATAGCAGAGAAGGTATCAGAAGAGGTAGCAGAGAAACTTCCAGAGGATGGTAAGCTAAAAAAAGCAGCTTTGGTTGTAGAACGTTTATCAAAACAGGCTGCTCATGATGCTGAATTGACAATAGAGTTCATACACAAGGTACTGTATCAGTGAAGTCAAATTTTTCTCAATTTCCTTCTTTCTATTATTTTTTGGGTCTATTTCTTGGTCCAACCATTAAAATTATTATAAATATTTTAAAATTATTAATACTTTAAATTTTTTAATAGTTTGTCCATTTTAAGTTCTTTGTCATATTAAAGTATTGCCATAAGTTCTTTTATTTAAATATTTAAAAATTAATATCAAACATGATAAGATAATTAAATCTCTCTCTCTCTCTCTCTCTCTTACTTATTATCCATTTTTATATTCACACTTCTTGAACATATTTTTCAAAATTAAAAAATACTAAAAGATGTCTCACACTCTAAATGTATAAAAATCATTTTCCACTGTTAAAACCGTACATCTTATTTTTGCTTCTGTTTAAAATGACGAGGGTAATGAAACACAGGTTGACGAATTCAAGAATGACCTTGATGATTTGGAGTCCTTCATCGCACCCATAGTTGACAAAATTGTGAAGAAAGAATCTGAAAGGAAGTGATACCAAATAAAAATTATATTTTTCACTGTTTTTATTTCCTTTTTTTTGTTTGTTCAAGTATTTCCCTTCGTTTTATTCTCTGTGCATGTAAATTTTCTGTGTGGAGAACTACTATTTCTCTCATTCGTTTGCCAGGTTAATTTAGTCTTATTATTTCTTCATCGGATTATTTCGAACGAGTGGTTCAAAGGTCAATTTTGAATTCCTATTTCAAATGAATTATAATCAAAACAGATCTTGAGTTAACTCCGACCTGCTAGGTTTTTATAGTTTTAAGCGTGGATCTAGCTATTTCTAATTCTAATGCATTCAGATATAATAAACTAATGTGGAAATCCGTCTAATGTACTGAGCTGTATTACATAAATTTTAAAAAATCAACAGGTTTTTATTAATAAAAAGTGTTAAGAAAATTATGAATTTATATGATTTGATTTACCAACCAAATAATTTGTTTAGAGTTAATTAATTATAAATATATTTTTATAATTATACATGTTTTAGATTCTATTAAAATCAATTGGATACTCTTCCTTTTATATGAGAATATTTGTTAATCAGTTAGATAATATTTGTTAAATACTATTTGATTACACGAGTCACTTAAGAATAATATTATAATAACCTTACATTTACATTTTGATCTTTTGACCGTTCAATCAACTAATATTAACTCTTATGGCTTTTGTTTCTATTTTAATTTTAATACAAACAGTAAAAGAAGTTTTGAACTTACATTTAATGATATATATTTACATAATTTCACAAGTCTAACATAAAATTTTAAATGGGAAAAAATATATTACACTATAAAAGAATTTGGTAATAACGATGAAAGTCTTTTTTTTATTAGCCTTAGTGAAATTTGTGGCTTTTTTTATCTTGTAATTGTATGTGTTTTGAAAAGAGTTCTTTTGAATGAATGAAGGGGTAAAGGTTAATTAGCTAACATGTACATCACAGAATGACTCATTAAGATATTGTCCTTCACCTTCGTGGGTCGATGGATGGCTCTTTCAGTGCTACCAAAAGGCTTATGTGGTTTCACTTCCACTCCTCCAATGATCAATATCTTTGTTTTCTACACATTTGCACATCATCATCACTCCAGTCTTAGCCAACCAAAATTAATTACAAGCGAAGAGATGCATTCGAATTTGCTCTGATCAATTGACGGATAAAAAAACTAATAAGTTTTCATACCTCAAGAAACAAGCTTTCTCTCACTTTAGTTCATTCTTTCTGCGTCTCATTCTCTCTTACTTTTTATCATAGAGTGCTTTTGTAAGAATAAATTAGTCACGATTTTTTTTTAATTACTTATGAGTATGAATTTTTTGTATTTAATTATTTTTTTCATCTTTATTATCATGTGTAATTAAATGTCACTTGAGAGTTGAATAAATTTTTGTTATGTAATTCTTTTTAAATTTTAATTTGATTTTAAATATTGATTTATTTGTTCATTATATTACCTTTTATATTATTATTATTATTATTTTTGAACTAGTCATTTAAGGATAAATTTTAATTAATTAGTTGATGGACTACTTAATGATAGTACAAATATGTTAATAGAAATAAGAGATAATTTAAGTTTACAAGTTACGAGAATCCATCTATCATCTACACTTTTAATTATTTAAAAAAGTTTAACAAGTCTAATTTTTTTAATAAAAAGACGGACATTATTAGATGAATATTGAGTTATAGTAGTTATTGATTATTAGTAATTATTTTAACATGATAGAATAGAAGTAAATTAAGAAACATATAAGTAATCGTATAAAAAAACTAAAATTATAAACTTTTATCTATATCAAATAGTTTTGTGATTCTCTATTTCTTATTTTTAAAATTTTTTTATTATTTTTAATCAAAACATTCTCAATCTTTGAATTTGCTTAACATTCAATTAATAATAGTAGTAGGTTCTCCCTTTTACTACTCTTACAGAACCTCTTTCAATTGTAGTAAAAGGTGGCATTTGAGACTCTCTTAATATTGTTTGAAACTCTTACTATATTGTAAGCACTTGTTATTATTATTTTTTATATGTTGAGAAAATTCAAAGGTTACAAATGTTTGGATTAAAATAAAATTAGAATTGATAGGGATAAAAATTTGGAACTTTAATTTCTTCTTGTGATTACTTATATATTTTCTAATTGAATTATATTTCATTGTGTTCAATCATTTATATGTTATCCTAATTATCATAGAAAAAAAAAGTATTAAGAAACATCATATTTATTAAACTCATTCATCTGATTGAAAGTATAGATAACACCTTAACTCCTAAACTCAAATTATCTCTTAATTTCATTAACTTATTAATAATATCATTATTCATTAAGTAATTAATTAAGACTTATCTTTGAGTGACCAATTTAAGAATAATAACATCAAAATGATAACTATAATGGACAAATATCAGGTGAAATCAAATTAAAGTTTCAAATGGGTTATGCAAGAATTTGTACGAATTTATTTTAATCCTTATAGAATTTTGTATAAATAAATTTATATTACGTCAGATTATTAAAAGAAGAAAAAGGTTTAGGTAATACCTGGATCCAAATAGCTTAATGAAATAAACATAATAGAATTTGAATATTTTCTATATAGATCTTCCTTAACCAAATCGTCTTATTTCCAATTTTTTTTTATCATGTAATATTAATATTTTTTTTCTAAATTAACATCTCCAATAATCATATAAGACATCAATTAAAGAAAGTATAAAACATCTATGAACTTATTGATGTAATACTGATTGGAAGGGAAAGATTGGTTTGGTCTACCTAATCCTTTATCTCGTTTTATCCTATAAATCCATTAACTAATTGAAGTACGGTTACCTGATAATATAATTAATTAAGATTATACAATTATGCGCAATATGATAAATACTAATCACATACGAAAATCAAACATAGATTTAAACTTCAAAATTTCATAAATTCATGAATAATAATTTCTATAGCCTTAGCTATGGACTTAATTATTCATGCTAAAACAAATAACTAAAACAATAATAAACAAAGCTATAGAGAAAAGCAAACTAGAATAAGATAAGTTTTCGGTCTTTAAGTACAGTCGCTCAAAACTCTAAGTCTCACCAAGAATATGCCAAAGATCATATCCAAGAGAGACGAAATGAAAGGTGTATCAAAGATTAAAAGACAAGATGTCAAAACTAGATATTCCAGTATCTGAGGTCTTTCTTTTATAGGGTTTAAAAACTCTAAAAGCTTTTTATTAATTGGGCTTGCAGTAGATGAGAACGGTCATGCAAGGGCAAAGACAAGACTATACATGGGCTTGATCTAGGCATGCTGATTGCTGCAAAGCACTAATCTTCCATCAATTCAGGCTCAAAATTCACTTTTGGCCTTTTTATACTAAAGTGCATAATTATCATGTAAATTAGTGTAAAATTCAAATAAATAAAAAAGCCAAACATAAATATTTGAGTTGTAAAAGAGAGCCTTTTGATCTATGTTTTTTACTTTTAGACTTCTCTTGAACAATCTAGTCCATCTCATACAAGAATAGGAAATCATTACAACTTTCATCACATCTTAGTGTAATTAAATTACAATGATCAGTACAGTCACATGAACTTCAATGACATAGATCAAATATAGATAAGTGATATAGAAATGACATATAATGTGATCTTAATCATGCTTATTTCTAACTATTCCAAACCTTAATCTTTATAAAGATAAATTCAAAATTGCAAAATAATTATTACATAAAATAAATTCAAAATAGAAACACAAATTCAGAATAATTATTACAATGATCTCAAAACTAATAGAGTGTTGATAGATGAACATATACTTTTTTGTTCTCTTCAAATAGCGCATCACACGCTTTATTGTCTTTCAATGTTGCATCCAAGGATTACTTAAGTATCTATCAAAGACATCCACCATAAATGTTATATCTGGACAAGTACAAACTTGAGCATAAATCAGACTTTCCACAATTAATGCATAGGAAATCTTTTGCATCTTATTTCTTTCAAGATAATTTTTCAAACATTGTTTGAGACTTAATTTGTCTCCTTTAGTTATAGTCTTATAGAGGCATTTCTTCACTTACTATCTTTTATGTTAAATCTATCTAAAACTTTATTGATATAGTTTTCTTGTGATAACCTTAAAATACCATGAGAATTATCTCTTAATATTTTAATATCTAATATCAAAGAGGTTTTGCCAAGATCTTTCATTTCAAAATTCTTTTTCAGAAATCTCTTGGTTTCAATTCATTGATTGGAAGTATAAACAATATATTAATCTTCTTAACTCGTAAACTCAAATTACCTCTTAGTTCTATTAATTAATTAATGGTATGATTATTTATCAATTGATTAACTAAAGTTTACCATTGAATGACTAATTTAAGAATAATAACATCAAAAGAAAATTTATAATTAACAAATAACATCAATATCATAAAATTAAATTGAGGTTTAGAAGGGGTTACGCAATAATTCACTTTAGTTATACATACTCATAAAATAAAAACAAATGTAACTAAACATAAGACATCTATAATCACAAATGATAAAGAAAGAAAAACCTCATGATTAATTTACTATAACGAAAACAAAACTCTATAATGGAAAAAGAGAAAAAGAAGATTACTTAGATATGAATGGTAAAGATATTTTTAGATTAAGACTTAAGATTTAAGTGTGTAAATAGAAAGATCAAGTTTTAAGCGTATCTCAAGTACAAGTAGCATAAGATCATTTTTATAAAGTAGAAAATTTAAAAAGATAGGATTAGGTGTTTTAAAAAAGTATGATTTAATGTCTAAAAAAATATTATTTAACCTTTAAAATGATATGATTTAACTTCTAAAAAAGATATGATTTGACCCCAATATAATTTTGTGTTGTTTAATGTTGAAGATTTTAAGTATGAGAAGCCCTAATACTAAATTTAAAATTTAAAATTTAGATTCAAAATCCATGTATTTTTTACTTATTTCAATAATTTTTATCTATGATTTAACTTATTATAACCAGATTACAATTTCAAGACTTCTTAGAATTAAATTTAAGAAAAACTTAGTTAATTCAAAATATAAAATAACAATTATAATTAAAAGAAAGGGGCTTAAAGTGATTAATCTCTATCAATGTAGTACATTTTGTGACAAGTTCTTATAAATTTTTGTTAGAATTTAATTCCTGAAATATTAAGAAGTTAAAATTTAATTTCTATCATCAACTCTAGTGTGTTAAACATTAAGCTGATTGACGCTCAGCACTCTCATGTGACATGTCACATTATTTAATTATTTAATATTTTATTATTTAAAATTAATATTTATAAATAAGTCTTTAAATATATTTTAAATATTTGTAAAAAAATTTCTTCTCCTTCCTTTTTCCTTCTCTCACTACCTTAATCCTAACCCCTAACCCATTCTCCTCCCCTTCCCCTTCATGCTATCCCAACCCTACTCTTTTCCCTACTCCCACCGTAACCCTTATGCCTCCCTTTTCCGTTACCTCACCCAACACATGTACCCCTATCGTAACACATTTTTCACTCTCCAAGCTTCTAACCTCAATCCCACACTCTCTCTCACCCTTACACCTTTTTATTGATTGCTTTTTCTTTTGGTATTTTTAAGTTTTAAATTAAATTATTAGAGAATTCTAAGTTATAAGCTATGGATTACCGGAAACGAAGAAATATGAAGAATTTAAATTTACTAAATAATGAAGAACTTAATTTAATAAAAGGTATTGGATTACTAAAAAAAATATGCCTAAAAATTTAAGAAGCTATTTATAAATAACAAAGGAGAAAGAATGTTTATAATGAAAGAGAAGAAAAGATTGACTAAGAATTTTTCTCTAAATATTTAAAATGTATTGAGATGCTTATTTGTAAATGTTAATTTTAAAAAAATAAAATATTAAAAAATTAAATGATGTAGCGTGTCATGTTGAGTTAGGAGTTAATAAAGATGACTAAATCTTAACTTCTGATTAAATCTTAAAAATATTTTAAAAATTTATTACAAAATATGTTATATTTATAGAGACCAATCACACATTTAAGTTTAAAAAAAAACTAATTTTTTTTTATAAAAATTAATAAAATAAAATTTATTAATACAACTCCTAAACAAAAATCATTATATCACTCTTGAAATATATTATTATTATTATTATTACATTTCTTTAAAGAATTTGAAATTATGCTTATGGCTCAAAAGAAAGACCAGTGAAAGTCTTAAATTAAGTGAATATATTTTAATTATAATTAAGTGACATTATAACTTTATTTAAATAATTAAAATATAATTTTTTTAATTTAAATGGTGTTTTATTTTCGCTTAATATGTTTTATGGGATTTGAAATTATGCTTATGACTCAAAAGAAAGACTAGTGAAAGTCTTAAATTAAGTGAATATATTTTAATTATAATTAAGTGACATTATAACTTTATTTAAATAATTAAAATATAATTTTTTAATTTAAATGGTGTTTATTTTCGCTTAATATATTTTATTTAAATTCTTCTACTATCTTTTATTTGTTTTTTTTGCTTTCTTTTATAAAAAAAGCATTCTTTTACTTTTAAAATAAAAAAATTGATAAATGAACAAATGTTTTATCGAAAATTTTAAGCATACCTTTTTCTGGAAATTTAAGATATAAAATTATCAATAACTTTAACGAGTTTTCAAGAGATATAAAATAACTTAAAAATTTACAAATAAAAAATTAGAAAGCATAACACATAAAATCAAATTTGAAGAGGCTGTTTTTTTAATTTCTTAGTAAAACTTATTAATTATTTAAGTTATAAATTTGAAATAAAAGACTTTAAGATAATTTAATTAATAAAAATAAAAATAAAAATACAGTTAAGTTAATTGTAAGTCATACCTAATACATGTTCCGGACTTCTCAACAAAATCGAGAATAAAGTAAGGGCTCAAAGTTTTAACCAACAACATAACAGCTTGGTTTTTTTTAAACATTATATGAGAAAATAAAATATTTTCAATTTATAATACAAATTTTATTATTTTTTATACTTTTTTTCCTTATTAAGTTTACTCAAGCTTAACCTAAGTTTAATTCATTTTACCATTTTGGAGTAAGATTTTCTGGTCTCTTTCGTTTCCACAGAAATATTTTCCTCTTCTATTTCAAATTTCAGATTTTCGTTCTCTATTTTTCCTTACTTTCATTTTGCTCAGCAACAGCTAAGGAATCTTCAGTCAAAGACCAGAAACGAGCAATCTCCCAACACAACGAAAGATTAGGAGAAATAGTTTTGAACGAACAAACGGCAAATATCGATTTGCGAGTACAAATACAGGGTGACAATTACTAGCAATGTGAAGCGAGCGTCTTATACAAACTCAAAATGCTCCATACATTCAAACAAAAAAATTAAATAAGACAAACGAAAGTGAGGACACAATAATTTTCTAAATTTACGATATATATGTATATATAGTCCGCCAAATGTAGAGAGAGACCTACAATCCAAATGCGGCGCTTCAGACGGTCAGAGCGGCGGCGACGAGGCCGGCGACGAAAGATCCGGCGATGGCAAATCCATTGGAGACGGCGCCGTTCTCGGATGGTCCAGGAGCCTCGGCCGGAGGGGAAGAGATGGAGGATGGAGGGACGGCAGGCGACGGAGAAGACGGTGACGTTGGAGTAGGAGACGGCGGGGAGCTCACGACGGAGGCCGGGGACGGAGCAGCGGCAGGTGGAGTTTTCGACGAAGGAGGAGACGAAGCGTTGGGAGTGGCTGATTTAGGCGCAGCAGCAGCGGGCTTAGGAGACGACGCCGGAGATTGTGCGGCGGCGGAGAAGACAAGCATGGCGACGAAGATCAAAACGAGTGTGGAAGAATGAGCCATTCTCAGAGGTTGAGAGATATGAGCTATAGTGAGAGTCAGTGAAACTGAAATTGTGAAAGTGTGTGTGTGGGAGTGAGAGGAAAGACGAAACAGAGAGAGAATTTATAGAGAGAGAGAGAGAGAGGAAGAGGGAGTGCGTGAGATGAGGATCAGAGGGTGGAGATTGCTCTGATTATTTGTAACGATGGCGTGGGAGTAATGATGAACGAGGCCAGGAAAACGCGCTTTCGGTTGAATCAACGCCGGACACGTGGAGCTACGATTTTAGGAAGACTCTGTTGACTACCGTTGATGAAATTGTAACGGTCAAGAAATAGGAAAGTGTGAAATTCGCGGGCATCTATGACCGTCTGGAAAGTGAACCAGAATGAATTTTCCGTCTCCAGAAATTAACAAAAAATTTGCAAATTATATTATAATAATAATAATTAATGGAAGAAAATGATATCTTTTTATCATTTGGTTTTAAATTTGTGGGCTTTTAGTGTCATAAAATAGTAATTAGTATTTATGTTATTATAAAAAATGATTTTATTTTCTTTCTTTTTGAGTAGGTAGAAAGGGATTGTTGATTGACGCGTGAATTACGGTACAGCTAATAGTAACGGGGTGTGTGAATGTTGAGCCGTGTTTTTAATTAAGGAAGCAAACCGAGTGTCAAAGCCGCAACGGGCAACTTTCTCTTTTTTACCATTCTTGTTTTGGTTTCTTATAACCATGATTTTGGAAAATCCCCAAAAAGGAAGATACCAATGCCAAGATTGAGAATTATTTTATTCATTTTTCATTTTCATCAATATATCTTCTCCATCTCGCCTCAAATTTCACTTTTACACTTTTGTTTTCTACTTCATTCTATGCTATTTTATTATAATACTGAAATCATATTTATATATTTTCCATTATGAGTCACAATAAATCCAACATATAATGAGTATTTTTTTTAAATTATAATAAATAAAATAAATATTCATTTATTAAGTTTAAATTTGTACACCAGTTTATATTTATAAAATTTAATGAGAATAAATATAGATTTAAATACTATTGTACTTGTGCATATAATATCTAAACTTTACATGAATAGTTATTATTTATCCGAATATATTATATATGAATAATTTTTTAAAATATGAGGAGCATCAGCATGAATTGTTTTATTTTTAAAAATGTTTAAATTTATTTTTAGATTTCAAGATCCTAATATCTTGCGTATATAATATTCAGGATGAATTACTAAACATTTATATAAAGCATTAATTTCACAATACTAAAAATCTATATGGTACATTTAATTTGCTTCCTTGTATTAAATACTTTACTTTTTTACAACATTTTAATTAATTAATACGTTAAAGATATTATCATTAAATGTTTTTTTACAAACTAAAAAAAATTATTTATTTTTATAACAATATTATTAATGGTGTAGAATAAATATTTTCTTAGTCAATAACCATTTATTATTCAATTTGATCGTAGAAAAAAGCTCTGAAGTTTTTTTAAAGTAGTCCATGTCTAATTTATTTTTCACGTCAGTTGAATTTATTTTTCTTTAATATTGGAATAATATGTTTTCTTAATTCTTAAGTAGCTGTACGCAAAAGCCATGGACAAGCAGCGAAGCAGAAGTGCAGAAGACACTCCGTTGTTACGTTGGAATCTTTTGACCGGGAAATGGTTCTACTTTTTTGTGCCTGCTCTGCTCGTTAAACTTGCGTTTTAATATGTAAACAACAGAATTTTACAATGATATATTTTTTTTAATATTACATAACTTATTTGATACTTTTTTTCTCTCTCTAATTTTTTTGAAAAAATATATAAATTTATTGTACAGATAGCGATTTCCTTTCACTTTTAGACATGTTGTGAAGTCGGACACGACCAAACATTGTGCATGTTTTTCTTTTTTTGGGTCAAGAACCATTGTCCATGTTTTGCCGTGTAACGAAATTTACGCACACAGAAAAAAGTAAAAAACCTGTCCGAAGCATATTTTGTCTCGTTTAAATGAGGGTCCCAAAGACGAGAAAAAGAAAACAAAGGAAAAGTTAATGTAAATTCTACATTGCATCTTTTCATCTCTTAATTTAAGTTACTTTTAGTTTTCTAATTTTTTAATTAATTAAAATTCTCAGTATTGCTAATTATGAAAAGTTTTAGAGGCATAATAGAATTAGAACATAAAATAATTTATGAATAATAAAAGTAAAGAAATTTAGCAAAAAATGTAAAATTATAAAAATTAAGGTTATTAAAGATTGATAAATTTTGATATTTTTTGAAATTCTAGGTGGGTTTTATTATTTTAATTATTATTTTTAAGTATGAGACGATCCAATTTGACTTGCTTGCTAAGCTTCTAGTAAAAATTGAGAATTTAAAAAAATTTAGATAAAAAGCCAAAAACTAATTTTATAGAAAAGATTTCCAGAAAAACTAATTATCAGAATCGTCCAAAGTTTTTCAGCAATTTAACTTAAATAAACAAAGAATCAATAATCGACTCAATATCATATAGAAAAGAATAAAAGCTGTATCATATTATTCATAAGAATAGCAATAAATAAATAGAATATACAAAATAATCCAATCAATAACGAATCCTCAACACCAGAGCAACCAAAATAGTAACTAAAAGGGAAAACGTTGAAGTACTAGAGTTCCAGACTCAAGCAATTCATAAAAATAAAAGAAACTCCATAGAATTTGTGTCTACACGAGCAAAGCGGCGGCGACAAGCATGACCACAGCAGATCCAGCGACAGTGACTGTGTTCGAAACGGCAGCGTTTGCAGCTGGTCCAGGTGCTTCAGATGGTGGAGCAGAGATGGACGAGGGAGAGATGTTTGGAGTAGCAGCTGGTGACTCAGAAGGAGACGACGGTGGAGATGGAGGTGAAGCCGCCGGTGACTCGGATGATGGAGACAACGCCTTCCTCGGTGAAGGTGCAACCGGCGACTTAGTGGGTGATGAAGCCGGGGACTGAGCCATGGTGGAGCTGAATAGCAATGCAGCGACTAGCATGAAAACCATGGTAGAGCGAGCCATTCTTGAAAAGAGAGAGCGAAGCGAGTGAGCAAGGATCAGAAAAGAGAGTATGTTGTTCTGTTACTGCCTTGTGAGAAGAAGAGAGAGGGTGAGAGGGTATTTATAGAAGATTAGAGGAGAGGAGTAACCGCGTGAAGACGTGGTTAGGGAATGGGCCTGGGCCGAGTGGTTTCTTAGCCGTTGATGTTGAAAGGGTCAAGTGATTGTCACGCGGCTGCACAGCTGTCTTCAAATCTGGAACGTACACGTGGTCATAAAAAATCTATCTTACCGTTGGATGTAAGAAAGTGGTAACGGTCGGAAACGGAAAGAAATAGTATGGTAGGGATAAAATGCTGAGTCGTGTTTTTTTCTTACTCCTCTACAGTTGTAATAGAAGAAGTAGCCGTTGAGGAATAGCGAGTGAGTGTAAGAGAAAAAACAAAAATTCAGAGTTGTTTACCCACTCACATTGCCCTTATAATTGGACTCTCTCTACACTATACAGATAAGTCCTGAGGCAAAACTCGTTTAACTCATAATTTAAGCTAATTCTTTAGTTACCACACATTTGAAAAATATTTATTATATTCATAATTAAAAATTTATTTATAGCATTGTTCTTTTATTTTAAAATTTATAATACAATTATTGTAAAAAAATTTAAATACTATTTTAGTATTTATACTATTTTATCTAATTCCTGGCATTAATTTTTTATATAAAATCATTATCATATATATATATATATTATTTTAATCCTTATATATAATATAATTTATTTTAGTCTTTATATGAAAAAATAATTATAAAAATAAAAAATGTATTTCAGAAAGAGACTAAAATAATAAAAAAATATTTTACTTTTATTTGTTATAAAATATTACAAGTTGTTTTTGGTCAAAAAATTGTTAACTACTAAAATAAGTTTGTAAAAAAGAGTTATATTTTGATGTGTTAGCTAATATAGATTAATTAAGGTCTAAATATAAATGATTCTTTTCAAAGATATTAGACAATTATGTCAAATAAGAAAATATATACTTTGACGGTGGGTTTCTAAGATATTTTAAAAAAAACTTTTGATTAAATGCAATTGAAAGCAAATATTGTTTTAACTAAAGAGTGTAAAGATTAAAAATTATAAATAAAGGTAAAGAAGGCTGTAAATAAAAGTAAGCTGAAATTGTAAAAGAAATGACAGTAATTGAAATTAAAATGTGAGAAAATAAATAAAAAGTAAAGATAAAGATAAAGATAAATTGGAATGTGTTAATCGATTGATTGTTCAAAAGTTTTACAATATATATAAATGCAACTTATATAGTATGTATAAAGCAATTATTTAGTCTAAAAAGTTGCTACACATGCTCTAAACCCACTACTGTATGTAAAGTGTTAGGTTAACTTTTGGCATCCAAGTAATTATTTTCGATTAACTTTTTTCATCAACAATTGAAATTGCTTCTAGTATGTTAGTTGAGTGTACAATGCAAATGTCCACCATACTACTCTAGATGTTATTAGAGTGAAACTTAGCTAAAAACCCCACTCTTCAGCTAACTAATGAGTTGTCAGTAGATCCAATAACTGAAATTTTAAACTAAATTTATGTTAACTCTCTAAATTTCTAACGTATTCAGTTCTCAGAGTAGGTAAAAAATGTGGTGGATGAAGTCTTAAAACAAATCAAGGTTCATAAAAAGCTCTAAAACTTCTTATTCCTAAAAATATTCCATTACTTATAAGTAATTTATCTTTTTTTTTTAAAACAATTGTTCTAAACAAAATATATTGTAGTAGTAGATATTGTTCCTAGTCAAAAATACAATGAAATCACCTTTTTCTATCCTTTCTCCAATTTTGCTACTAAGAGAAATGTTCATTTTTTAAAATATCCTATATACATAGGTGAGAACATAGAAGACGTTAGATTTATCTTGATAGAAGCAAGAGTAATAACAATGTTTATAATGCTACATCAACATCAACATGTATAGTAAAAAGAATTCTACGAAAAGAATAAGGGGATATGAAAAAATCATAATGGATGCATCAGATGGACTAGAAGTGATTGATATTATACCTCCATGACTAGAACTTCTTGTTTTAAAAGGTGAATCTATCAAACTTGATCAACCATTAACAATTAATCCTAATGTGGGTAGATTTGGTTAGGGGATACAAAAATAGTACTTCAAGATCTACTACATGAGCAACTACATTGTTACTTTCTAAATTGACAACTTTCGTGTTTGGAATAATATCACAAATTGTAAAGTATCATATCAGCTGGCCATTGAGTTTAGATGTTAGTTGTGTCACTTTATCACTTTAGTTGATTTCCTTCCTTTATTTAATATCCCTAGTTAGTAACTAAATTGACTATTATGTCTTAGTTGGTACGTAATTTAATCGCTCTATCGTAGGCTATCATTAATTGATCTTGCTAAGTTTTGAGAACTAAATTTTGATGTTAGCACTTTGCTTTCTGCGTTTGACAATTTATTTTGAGTAACCTGTGTATTGGAGAATAAAACTAACAATATGTTACTAATAGATGACAACTAGCTAATTTATTTTGTTGGCTACATTCTGTTAAGTCTATTTAATTAATTTTGTTCTGTTTAATTAGTTTGTTTTCTGTTTCTTTATTTTCTAGTTGTGCCTTTTCTCTTAATATATATAGGAGGCCTGTCGTTGTAATCATAATGAAAAAATTAATTGAAGTATTATTCAGTCATCTTCTTCCATTATCTCTTCTTTTCTGCTTTATGGTATCAAGAGCACTTACAAGGAGAGCTCTGATTTGCCATACTCTGATCCAACATGGCTAAAAAAGAAGGTTCTCCAAAACAAGATAACACCAAGAAAGGAGATGAGTCACAAAATCTTAGCAGCCCCTGTTATCTACATCCAAGTGAAAATACCAATATCCTCACTGTTTCTCTTATCCTTGATGGTCCAAATTACCATGCTTGGAGTAGGTTGATGAAGAGAGAGCTTCAATCTAGGAACAAATACAAATTTGTAGATGGAACAATAAAGGAATCACCAGGCGATGACTTCTTGCATGATGCTTGGATAAGGTGTAATACTATGGTTATTTCTTGAATAACTCGATCTGCTTCTTTGCAGATTGCGCAGAGCATAGTGTATATTGACAATGCAGAAGATTTACGAAAGGATTTAAGGGATAGATTCTCGAAAGGAGATCATTTCAGAATGTTCGATCTCTTGTAAGAAATTCATTCTATCAAACAAGGAGAAAGAACCATCTCCACCTATCACACAGACTTAAAGATTCTATGGAAAGAGTTAGAAATTCTCAAACCTATTCGAGCTTATTCCTGCATTACAAAGTGCACCTATGATTTGGTGAAAACTCTGAGAAATTACAAGGATACAAAATATGTCATCTATTTTCTTAAGGGTCTCAATGATTTCTACAGCATTGTTAGATCCCAGGTATTGATGATGGATCCTTTACCTGACATTAACAAAGTTTTCTCTCTTGTTTTGCAACAAGAAAAGCAGGTCTCAGGAACCATGCTTCAAGAGAACAATCTGGTGGCCAACATATCAAACAACAAGCCATCCTTTTGAGGTAGAAGTGGATCCTCGTTTGAGAGAGGTAAAGGAAGATATAATCAAAGAAATTTCAGCAACCAATTTCAAAGAATCTACACCTTTTGTGGCAAAGAAAAGCACACAGTAGAGACTTGTTATTTCAAACATGGATTTCCTCCAAATTTCAAGTTCAAAAATGAGGGACAAACATCCACTATAAACTCCTATATCTCAAATTCCTATATCTCATCTAACACTGTTGAGAGCAGTATTCATAAGAATGTTGAAAAGGAACAGTCTGAGGTAAATAGTACCATTACAACTAAGCAATATACCCAACTCATGAAAATGCTTAAAAGATCAAATGTCAATGGAGAAGTACATGTCATAGGCAATCTCCAACAACATTCAGGTAATATCTCATCTACTAAAAAGGACTAAAAGTTGCCTGATGATGTTTGGATATTGAACAGTGATGCCACTGATCATGTATCCAACTCCCTTCTTGTTATGATTCTTAAAACACCATTAAACCTATAAGAATTAAACTACTAAATTGATTTATTACTCAAACACATATTTTAGGAACAACTAACAAAACAGATCAGTTAGCTGTCACCTATTAGTAACATATTGTTAGTTTTATTCTCCAATACTGTACAGATGCATCTTCAACATATATGTCTCCTTCCAGGTCCTTAAGTTGATCAGCCCTTCATCTAAGGATTTTAGCAACTCAAGTTTAGCTACTTCTATTGGCACCTGGCTGTTACAAGCTTATGTGATTGAGTCTGTTCGCGAACCATTGTCTTGGCATGAGATAGCATGTTAACCATTTGCCTCACCTTCTGCACTGATCTTTGTCTCCACTTTCGCCCTTCTTTAATCAGAGTTAGTACAATTGACTATGCTAGCTTTAGTTAAGCTTGTTTGTGCTTTTGCGAGATGAGAGACCACCGTTCCTTCTCTATTTTTACCTTTGACTTGAAAGTTCTCAAAGGCTTGAGTTGTTCGTCGTTCTTCACAGTGATTCTCAATGTTTGCATTCCTCTTTCTAATCTCATTTGAACCACCATTTGCTGACCCTTCAGGAGATCTTTGGGCTTGGTAACTCGTAGACGATAGAACACCTATTCTTTGAGGCTTAGCTACAACCTATCAAAGTAAAAACTAAAATTGTCAAGGAAATAACGGTAAATGAAAGTAAAATGTGAGGAAGGTATATTAAAATTTACCTTAATAACTAACACAATAAAGATCAATATTAAAAATGATACTAATCTTAAAGATATATATCTAATTTTAATTGAAAAAAATACTAAAAATATTTATGGTATCACGATATAATTTTCTTTTCAAGCAACGCATCAAGGTATAACACAAACATTTTTTACCAAACTCTAAACATCAAATTCTCATAACAAATTCTATAACCGTTTTGCATTATTTAAAATTGGTAAATTACCTTTTTCAAGATGTTAAGAATAACTGTAACATTTTAAAACTTGTTTCAAAATGTGAGTTGCATTTTAGGTATACATTAACCTTTTTTTTAATTTTAGTTCTATGCATAACACATTTTTTTATTTTAATATTGTAGTTTAATTTTTTATAAAGACTGAAATAAAAATTGTTATTCATAAAAATTATAATAAAAAAATGTTATGTATTAGGATTAAAATATAAATATATTTAAATATGAGATAACAATATTATTTTAAAAATATATATTTTTATTTAAAAACTTGTTTACAATTTTTTATAAAAATTAAATGAAAAATAAATTTCGTAAAAGCATTACAATAGTATTTAAACTTTTTTTTAATATTTTTTCTTATTCTTTTCTTGGTTAATAGTTTAATAGAATAATAAATTTATTCAAAACATTTTAACCTGGCGTTCATTTGATGCAATTAAAGATGTGAGATTTTAAATTTTGGTTTGAATCAATATGGCTGATTGACATAAATAAGATTGTTTTAAAAATAATTTTTTTTAAAAAAATAGATCATATTATAAATAAAATATTGAAATAGATAGTTTTAACAGTAAAAGTAAAATTTAAGGAAAAAGTAAAAAGAAAAAGAACCATGCACTAAAAAAAAATAACTTTAAAATTTGTAGCAGTTTTTAAATGACCACAATCTCCATGGGGGTGTTCTTTCAGTTGACACGTGTTATTGTGATGCTTTTTAAAAAAATAAAATTACCTTCAACTTTATCGTTAAAACAATATATTTTTATATTTCATTTACAAAATAACGTTGTTTTGTCAATCAGCCGTTTGTTATTTATGTACTTTAAGCGATGTATGTGCAATAATGTAAACAGTGGTAAAAGGGTGAAGTTAGATTAACTTTGTTTTTTTCTTTTCCGTAAGATGAGTTTATCAAGTAAAAACATCTCTATTTTTAAATTCAGTAAAATATTTATTAAACTATATACAGTCGCTTATTTACATAGATGCAAATTTTCCTTAAAAATAGCATATAGTAAATTTAACAATCTTAATTCCTGAATTTCTATATCCTACTGTAGCTTCTTGTCAATCTTTACGAACAACCTTTTTTTATGCTTCTTTAGTCTCTTTTTCACAATCATTGTTAATTCCGAAACTTACAGAAATAGATTTAAACTTGAGTAATTTTTTAAAATTTTAATTAAAACTATTTTGAAAGTTTTTAAAAATTTAGAAAAGATATTAACAGTTCATTTAAATAAGTAAACGAATAAATATAATAACTTGATATATTTCTTTTGAAGATGAGCACTTGATGTTTGAGAAAACAGAATAAACTTAAATATAAAATTTGGCAAATATTTTGGTCTCATGAAAGAGTATTTTTATTATTGTCTTAGTTCGCATGTCAAATGTACCTTATAGTAGACTTTAAAAGATAGAAGAAATGCGATGAAAAAAATAATAAAGGAACAAAGCATATTATAGGAAACTAATCTCTACTCATAATTCATGTTTCATAGCTTAACGAATGAAGATGAAAATTTAAATTTAAATTAACTTGAAATATAACTAGTTAAAATTTAGAAGTATTTGATGATTTTTAATATAAGTAAAAAAAAAAAAGGGAAGTTATGAACAGTAGTTACATACCTTAAGACGAAAAAGTGCATAATGGAGTGTTCAATTGTGTTTGCTATGAAGTATTGAAGTGTTCAATTGTGTTTGCTCTCCTTTTACCCCTTCCGAACATTAGGTCAATTATCTCTGGCTAGTCTTTCCTCCATAATTTGTAAGGATCATTAACAATATAAATAAGACATCAAAAGTCAAGCCATCAACATTGAACATTAGCTGTGACAAGGTACAAAAGGAATTTATTTATCATACAGTAGAACAATGTTTTTTTTTTCTATCATGTATTGTATGGCAACTGTCATACTGGAGTTATTGTGCCAAAAGAATGAAGAAACTACGTAATATGATGAATCTTCTATAAAAGACACCAAAGAAAATATGCCCTTGTGTGGCACTGTTTCAAAATGAAGAATGTTTGGAGAAGCCTATCATTTAGTAGAGCCTGTCACAGTTTTTCTCACTTTTCTGTATTCATCTGCAGTATTGAAATCTACTTCCTCATCTGCCGTGTCTGACACATCTACGTAGTAAAAAAAAGCAGGTTTATAAGCCAGTAACAGCATTAGAATCACCAACACTACTGGCTTTACCATTAGCACTGTCATTAGTGTTCAATCGGCCGTTAAATTCCATGCCATAGATGTGGCCCATTTTCACACGTTTGGTCTCTAAATATCTCTTGTTCTCCGAAGTGATAAGAGTTAATAATGGGATCCTACCAGAAACTGTCAGACCATAACCTTTGAGCCCAACATATTTTGATGGATTGTTTGTCATCAGCTTCATAGATCGAACACCCAAGTCCCTCAATATCTGCAAGTAGAGAATTTCAAATTCGAAATCATTCCAGTGATTCCATAATCATGGTAAATCAATTATCATCTATTAAAACAGGTCAAATGCTATGTGAGTATAAGACGTCAAATATCCAGCCAGTCTTCTAAATTCTAATACCAATATATTATTACCTGTGCGCCAATGCCATACTCCCTAGAGTCAACAGGCAATCCCAGCTCCTCATTGGCTTCTACAGTATCCCGTCCAGCATCCTGTAGGTTATAAGCACGGAGCTTGTGGCCCAATCCAATGCCCCTTCCTTCATGTCCACGGAGATATACCAATACGCCCCTACCAGCAGCCTCAATCTGTTGCATGGCAAGAGCAAGCTGATTTCCACAGTCACACCTGGCAGATCCAAATATGTCTCCAGTCAGACATTCTGAGTGTACCCTTACAAGAACATCTTGTCCATCTCCAATGTCACCCTGTAGAATAAGAAACAGTCAAAACCACAAAAAAGCTTGAAGTTTGCAATTGAACTAATCATTCAAAAGTCTAAATTGGAAGAGCTCCCAGGCCCAAGTTTGTACGCCCATCGACCCACTTGCCATTTACTATAAATACTAAGAAACCCGTTCTTGAAGGAAAACTAAGAAACAAACGGGAGATTGAAGAATGGATGCAAGAAAAAGGTTAAAGAAACGCGTTTTATCCTACAACAGCCTCAAAGAAAATGGATAATATCAATCTCCCCTTCCAAAGAGAAAAAAACAGTGGGATGCAAGAACTGTGAACAAGCTATCCTGCTATTTGATAACGCATAAGAAGCTGCCTAATGCGATCAATGATAAATCATATTGCCCTACCACATTAGCATCCCACACTCAAACGTGTCTTGTTAGTTAAAATCATACAGCTAGCAACAAGTTAGCAGTAAATCCCTTCATAGATTAAATCAAATAGGCACCCCTAAGCTTCCTGACAATAACTCTGACAATTGAAGGAACAGGTATTTTAAGATGTTTCAAATTGACAAGGCCAAAACAATTCGAGAAATGAATCCTCAAACCTCGAAAAACAAGTAGAATAGCTTTTTAAATATGTCAGGTAATGGCATGGTAAATATCTCACTGTTTTCAACTTCACAAGCCTTGAAGCCCAGCTTTCTCAAACATTTTCTAGCTTAGAGTAGATCATACACACATTACTATCTTCCTCCTCCTCTACGTTCCTCCATCTTTTCTTTTTTCACACGCACAACTTCTAGCTCATCAGATTTGTGAGACAGTCTGAGAAGGATAAAGTGTATCAACTCTAAATAAATTGGCTTTGGCTTAAACGTATCCAAATGCTATTCCATAGAGAATACATTGGCATGGAACTAACTGTTGATTGCATCAATCAACTTTGAATTTTCTTTGTTGTTGTTTAAAATCAGAAACATAAATATTAGTCATGCTTTAATTTCTGTGTCACTTCCATGAATTCAAAATTAATCCATGTATGAACCATACAGTGTAACCTAGGAAGGATGGTACATATTTAAATCACTTCCATTTTGTCAGTGGTCTTAAACCATGTTTGCAGAAATAAAGCTTCAGCTAAACCATAGGTGTATAAAATATTATTTACTCTAGATGTAGCATTTCATATGTATTTGTAACATATATATGTAGTTCAATATAAACACAAGAAATGCACCTTAACCATAGCAATATGTTCAATCCCGTCTAAAAGTGACCTATAGCAGTAAGCAGTGAATGGCCCCCACATTGTAGGTATTTTTGCATCAGAAGCACGATCCACTAATTTATCTCTCTTTCTTCTATATCTGTCATAACAGTAAGTGTTAATTCCATTGCTATTTAATCAAATAAGTAACAGGTATCCCAAGTAGCCAAAAACTTCACTAAAGAGTCTTATAGAAGGAAAATGAAATTTAAAAAAAAAAAAACCATAAGAATAAAACTACTTAGAATTTAACTTAAAAAGAAGTTCAAATTTAATGAATCCAATGCGGGCCTTCCAGTGGAAGATTTTTCTTTTTAGAAAGAACAAGGTTTCCATTTTCCCAACGATATATAAAAAATTACATTCCGTGAAAAGTTTACAAAAGAAAATGAAGATTTAAACAAAAGATACGTCACGAGGAATCATTATATTTGACGCATAATATCCTATAAAGCTAAAGTACCAGAGTCCAAGTTAGTTTAATTATATAGACAGGACTCAGGCTTATAAATTATGATATCAGATTCATTTAATATATATGAGACAACATAAGTGATATAAATTGTATTTGCAATTGAAAGCAAAATCTAAACATAAAAGCAGTGAATTTTATATTCCATGGTCCATGAAATCTAACCTCATACCTTGTTAAGTCAGCAATAGATACAATTTTCAAATTTTCACGCTCTGCAAACTGGCGAAGCTTTGGCAGTCTAGCCATGGAACCATCATCGTCTACAACCTCACACAGAACTGCCACTGGATCCAAACCAGCAAGCATCGCAAGATCAACCGAAGCTTCTGTGTGTCCAGCTCTCTTCAAGACACCGCCTTCCCTGTATTTTAGTGGGAAAATATGCCCCGGGCGGTTGAAATCACCTGGGGTAGAATCTCTAGATGCAAGGGCCAAGACTGTCGTAGCCCTGTCTTGAGCTGACACCCCAGTGGTGGTACCATGTTTAGCATCCTACAAATGCATTTTAAATCTTTGAAATATATCAAATTTCATCAATAAATGCCTAAAATACATTAGATGAGAATTCCTACGGAAAAATAATAGAAAATAAAATTTAAATAGCTATTCTTGACTTGAAGCCATTTTGCTAAATGATAATGAATGTCCCTTACATACTACTGACATTAAAGATACCAAATGCAACAAATTAAATGCATTATATAAGTGCCGCTTGATCAAAATGGAAGACTTCAGTCAGAAAGTTGTGGCACCAAAACAGTAACTCCACATGAAAAGATGCATGTAAGAAAAGTAGTACATACCACTGTCACAGTGAATGCTGTACAAAGTTTCTCATCATTATCCTTACTGTTTACCATCAAAGGAAGTTTCAATCTATCTAGATCCTCCTCTTTCATGCTTACACAAACTATCCCAGTTCCATGCTTTACAATAAAAGCCATAGCCTCAGGTGTTGCCAACTGTGCCGCCATTATCAAGTCTCCTTCATTTTCTCGATCTTCATCGTCCACAACCACTACCATCTGCATCGTTAATATGAATAAATAACAAATCTATTATGATACCGATGCAAAAGAAATACTTCAACGCTCTAACTTTTCCTGCACTACACAACAAAAGTAGGAAAAGAAATTTACTCAAGAGCGAGAGTAGCAACCTTTCCCTGGCGAATATCTTCAATGGCCTCAGGAATGGAAGCAAAACCTGCCGTGGGGATATCCAAATCAAATTCATCATTGTCAACAGAGAAAACATCGGTTTTTAGCCCTTTGTCTGCTGCCAGTCTTCCATTAGGTTGTACCTCAATTCCAACAGTTTCATCACCAACCAGAGTTTTAGGCATCACAATGCCATTGCTATTTGGATAGGAAAGTAGGTCACCAGCTCCCGAGATCAATGTAGCTTTAATTCTACTAACAGCATTGTGGCTCGAGGGAAATTTAGAATTTAGTCGGACAAAGGGCAAATCATTGAACAATTTGGAGTGTTTGCATACCCTATAATAGTCACATCCAAAGGTTACATATCCAAAGAGAGGGAAAAACTGAATTCAAAATTTATCACAGGGACACAATGAGCAGCTCTATAAAGCTAACATATCCAGCTCCAGAAAACAGAGTAGGTTTCAGCATAAAACTTATAATGAAGTGATACAACAACAACAAAGACTGAATTAGAATCAAACAAGTATAGTTCAGAAGCAATCAAAATCAAATTTTTATATTAAAAAATTCAAAACATCACTCAAATATCCATGAACTTTCTCCTCAGTATAATACAAAAATTTCCCTACCCCTGAAAAAGTCGCGTCTCTTATAAAAATTCAAAGAAAAAATTCCGCCAACTGTGGATCACAAGAACATCTAACATCGAAAATTGTATCCGCGGATGGATCCCACAAATGAAAATGCAACACTTAATCCCAAAAGAGAAAAAAAAAACATATTGGATTTAGACATTAGAAAGAAAGAGTTGAATGAATTAAACAAAAAAAAAAAGAAAAAAAAAGACGTTAAGCTGAAAGGAGCAATAACAGAAAGAACCAATAAGAAGAGAGAGAAAACTCACTGCGGACATGAGAGAGGTGACGAGGAAGAATAAGAGAGATTGAAGGAAGGCATTGTCTGGTGGGAATGGGAAACGGAAAGGTTTTCACTCAAATTTTGGGCAATGAAGAAGAAGAAGAAGACTTGTCAATAGTATAAAAGAAATTGGAGTCAGAGAGACACGAAGGAAGCAACGCCGAATCCTTCCCTTCTCTTCATGCCTCCTTCCTACCATTCCATTTATTTATTACATTACAAATGCCCATTAGCCCATACCTTTTTTATTATTCTTTTTTCTCTGTTATTCATTATTTTCCAATATTTGTTCCTTTTTCCCTTTCCATGATGAAGAGTTCAGATTCGTACTATATAAAAAAAATATTACTTTTAGAATACTTTCAGGAGCCACAGCTTCCTATTTTGGGGTCAAAGTGGGGTAAGCGATTACGTTTGGAAAATGGCGAGTGTGTGGATAGATCACAAATTGTACGAAAGAATATTAAAACAGAGGCTGCTATTGATTCGGTCTTTATCCATTGAATGAAGGTGGCGCCTCTTTCTTTCTGCTATTCCAATTTGTGCTGTTATCACTTTGACCATCTTCCCTTTTCCCCTTTTCAACGCCCCAAATAGTCTCCATTTATTATAAAATGTTCACTACAACATAATAATAAACTATATTGATTTAATTATTATTCACTCATCATTATAGTTTGATAAACATTTTTATATTATTTTTAATTTTTTTATACCAAACTTCCTAAATACTGAAATGCGGGGGTTTTACTTCTATTTCAAGTTAGCTTACCTTTAAATGGATTTTATCAAAATTCTAATTATTTATCTCTCTTACACACGTACGAAAAAAGATTCATTTATTTTATACATTAAATGGTTATTCAACTTAGCACCTTTTTTTTTTATGTATTATTATATGATATTAAATCAAAATATTGAATCATGTGACTTAAGAATGGCATATTAAATTTGAGATAACTAAATATTAATAGCTATATTATTTTTAATTAATATTTATTTATAATTTAAATATTATTTGTTAACTGAAGTTAATTGATAAAATATTTAATAATTTTTCAAAATTATAAAAACATATGGACTTAATTTAATGATTAACTTAATGTAATTCAATGTTCTTAAAAGATACTAAACACATCAACGAGCTAAACAAAAGTAAGTGAATATTTTTTATATGTATCTACGAAGTTGAATTATTTTAAAACTCTAACGTAGCTTGAAAATATATTTAAATATCTACTTTGTAATAAAATCTTTTAATTAAAAAAGAAAAAAATATGGGAAATGATTACTTTATTATCCAGTTTCTCTATACTTACATATATTTAAAATATTAATTTTAGAATAAAAATTAATATTACACTTATATTCCTTTAACTTGATAGTCATAAATCACAAATTTTTTCTTAATATTAAAATTAAAAAGCCTAACCTCTCATTGCCGCCGGTTAACATCATCATTTTGTGGCTGTATTGCAACATTGTTGCAAGGTCGTTCTTCAAATTTGTTGATTGAGGAGAATTATCAGTTACTGCAACTTCAGTTTTTATAATTGTGATGTAAAATATCAATTTTTTTTTAACAAAAAGTGCAGACAATGAACCAAAATATGAGTCTTGAGTTCATATATAATGTAAAATAAACACTAAAATTGCTATTCATGTTAATGTGGATCTTGCAGACAGAGACACGAAGAGAAATATATATATATAACGCATATAAACATTAAAAATATTATTAAATATAAAGACGAGAAATCGATATTTATATAAGAGAATAAAAATTAATAAGAACAACTAAAAAACTTAAAACTATACAATATTTACTCAAGAGCGTACTTTAAACAAATAAAGGCATACTCTCTTTTATTTATTAATATAGTAAGATAAAAAGAATTTTTACAGTCCATGAAAGAAGAGATAGTCTCCTTTTTAAGGTCACTTAATGATTTAATGAAAATTTAAAAAGTTGAATTGTAGTTCATGAAGTTAGCTATAGCCTTTTTTTAAAATAATAAACTGAAAAAAAATATACATTTGATTACTCCCTCTCATACTCAAACACACGGATCCTCAGACTCCTTTTCGACACACTAACACTTAATTGTATGACATTAAAATAAAATTACAGGAATCAAACACACAAAATATCAACATTTAAAGTGAAATTGTAAAATAAAAGGAAATAATGGTGAGTGGAAAGGAAATATTAATACACTCAACTAAAACATCCGAGGGATGTTTTAAAAGTTAAAATTACCGGTTGTTAATAAGGAGGATAAATTTTTAAATAGGAATGCTAACAATTACACCAATTAATACATTTAATTAAAATTGAATAAAGAAATTATTTAAACATATGCAAATACAATTTAAAATCACAAGCTGTCGATGCAGTGTGTAGGAAAAATAAATTAGAACGCTAATCGTCCCATCCTTGATTCAAGTTGTCTTGCTAACAAGTAAAGACAATCCAAGAAAATTTTCTTTTTACATCCCTTTTTATTATTAGAAATTTTAGTTTCATTAAACACCAACTCTACAAGAGGAAGAAGAGTCGAGTGTCGGACACCGATACTCCTGGACACTGCTCGGACATGTCTCCAACACTTTTTTACAAGTGTCCAAAAATTAAATTACTTTTTTTGGCTGTGACACGGTGTAGACATGGCTGTGGATGGAAGACACGATTTCAAAGCGGCTCACTCCAAAATAAAATTCAAAATAAAAAAAAAGTTAAAAGTTAAATATTACAAAAAAAATTAAAACTCCCTCCTTTCTTCCTATACCTTCTTCTGCACGTTTGTTTTCTATTCTCTATGTTAGGTTTCTCTGCACATTCTTCTCATTGTCGACTTGTAGTTTAAGTTTTTTTATCATCCCTCATCATTTTTCTCCAGACAACATTAATTTTTGTTATTTTTACTAGTAAAGTTTTTCTTTTTCTATTCATCTTTGTTTTATTTTTTTTTATTTCTATTTAGTATTTTCATTTCTGTTCCTGTTTCCTTTTCTTTTTCTGTTCTCAAGTTTATATTTATATTCTGCTATTTTATTTTTCTGATTTTTATTGTATTTCAATATAAATTTTTCATGGTAATTATATTTAATTTTTTTATATATTTATACATAAGCAGTATCCCGATATTTTATATTTTTAGCCGTGTTCCAATATCCGTGTCATGTCCGGTGTCCGTGTTGTGTCAAAGTCAGTGCTTCATAGTATACAATGTATTCCTTCACAAATGAAATTCAGAAAGTGATTTATAAATTATCTTTTCAGAATTTAATTTTCAAAATTATATAACTTTTTCTGCAAATTATTTTCATAATTTGATTTCCAGAAGTAATCACAAAAAATCAAGGAAGGTGTGAATAGGAAAAGTCAGGCGCGCCAAAACAAATTTCCCTAATCCAAGCCATTACAAGCCCATAAGAAATCCTTAAGTTGTCCAACACTACCAGTTTCTAATAAATCATTACGAATTTATTTCATATATTCTACAAGTTACTGTACCATCTTTAGATGTCACCAGAAACTGTGAACAAGTTCCAAACAAAGAAAAAAAAAATGTGCAAACTCATCAAAATACAACCAGAAGAAATGAGCTAGAACCTGCCTACTTTTTTAGCTGGTTTTTTGAGATGCACAAAGAAGAAAGCAATAATAATATTATACTTTATTACTCATGTCATTTGAGCAATACCATAAGCAGAGACAAAAATGAATATACCATACCAGCCTACTTGTACAAAAGGATGGTCTCCTCCTAATGTCATATATGCTAGCAGAGATGTTCCTTACTAATAACTAGTTACTTATTCAATGCTAATTACGTAATGATTGCTGTTGAGTGTTGTCAAACCAGGGCCCTTCAATCCTCACTTATGTGTCTATTGGTAGTTCCTAAATTGCACATTTCAATTAGCAAAATTTCCTAACATATGTTAGTTATCTTTGTAATACAGTCTTGACAACAAAGTGTTCCAAAACATACTGCTTTATCATGCATACAGTGCACAATATCATAAAACAAACTGTTCTGTGGTATATAAATTCTTTTTCTTTTATCAATTATTATAATATACACATTCTCAGGCAAACTCAGAAATACCTATGCTACCTAATCAAATACAGTCAAATATAGGCAGGTAGGTCAAGTCCTGAGTGAACACAAATGCCTGTATCTAATGTCATCGATACAAAAGAGTCACAAATTGCCAGACAGAATTGGGATATGAAAATAAAGACCAATATGTCCAAGTCAGGAAAAATCACTTAAGGCCATGTGAAACAGAAATGCCAACTCAGTTGGAATGCCAACTCACATGATTCATTGGATCCTGTCAGAGTAGCAAGAAATTACACCATAAGATAATGGGACTTTGTGATTTCAGTTTTTCAAATCATGGTTTCGGAGTCATTCTGGTCATCCTCTTCATTAGCCAAAGCAGGATCATCAGCTATAATTACAAACTTTTATGGCGACTCTTTCTCATTCAACTGCCAACTAACTGTCCCATAATATCATTGAAGCTCGAACCTGTGTTCAGGGGTGTGCTGCTGATTAAATCGGCCAGGAAGCTTTGAGCTGGTCTTATAGCAATCACCACAAAGATCAAAACCAATCTGCTCCTTACAGTCAAGGCATCTATATCTGTCCCCAGTTATTGGGTACATCTGCCCAGACAAGCCACAAACATTAACACACTGTAGAAAACTAGGAAGTACAATAATGGTTGCAACTTTGACCAATATTTAAAATTAGAAAGAAAACAACAGATTGGTTTTTGGAAAACATAAAAAAAATCTCTAGATTTAAATTAAACCAAACAAGCATGACAAGAATATTAAGGGCTTGTCTTCCTCAGCTAAAACCTAGAGAAAAGCATAAAAATGAAAAAATGCTAATATGTTTTGGGGGTGGGGAGGGGGGATGAACGGGATCTGAGGAAACATATATCAAATATCACTCATTAATACATCCAGCTTTAAGCACAATGCTACACTTCCAAGTGGAACCATTTAGATAAACTCGAAAAACAAAGAAAACATTTAAATCATTTTTAAAATTTAGGCTTAAATATGTCTTTAGATTTTACAATTTTTCAAGATTTTGATTTTAGTCTCTCAAGAAAAACTTTTGCCTTTATTAGTCCCTGATTTTTCTAGATTCAATACTTTTGGTCCCTCTCTCACTGATGTGGCATAACAAAAACTTCACTAGTAGCACAAAAAATCAACACACAGCAACATCTTAGTCATATCATAACTAGGGACCAAAAGTGTTAAATTTAGATAAATTTGAGACTAAAACCATTTTTTTTAGGGACAAAAATCAAAATGTTGGTATAACATAGGAACTAAAAACATATCTAAACCTAAAATAAACTTCTATAAAAGCATCATTTATATGTCAGTGATACTGAATATAAGTATTGCAACTTACAAGTATAGGTTGCAAACCATAAGGTTACAGCCACAACAGGTTATGTATGTATAACTCCCTTTCTGGACATTGGATCATAGGACCAAATGTTGATCATAAGTCAAACATCTAGCAGTTAACAAAGACAAGCAGCCACATAAAATGATCACCACCTATCTGAGTCAATGAAACACAGATTTTTAACATTCAAAGTTTCAAACACACTCATTTCCACTCTCCCCAACCCTAAAAGAGCAGGAAAAAAAAAAAAACACTTAAAAGAAAATACAAGCTATGATAAAGAGGCATTACCCCACAAAAATCACAACCAACTCCTACATGAGTGTTCAATCTGGGATCAGACCATGGCGATATCGTTCCTCCTTTACCATTATGCAAAGAACCTGAAAGCAGACAATATATAGTAACTAGAGACTAGAAGAAACACCAACAAAACAGAAGAATAGTAGCAATGAAACCCCAAAGTACATATCACCAGCCCCTTATTCTATAATTTTTCAAAGTCATCATGAAAACCTGCTCAAAGGAAGGACACACCCAACATAATGCAAAAATGCAAGCAGATTATTTCAGAGGAAATCATTTACAATTTTCCCATTTAAAGAGAAATCGATAAGTTTTACATGTTTTCATTTTAAACAATTAAAAGCCATATAAAAACATCAAAATATCATATTCCATTCTTTTCACAGTAGATCCTACAGCTACACTTTAAATATATGGTTTCTGTTCTCATTATATTTTTCACCCATTATATAATACAAGGCCTGGTTCATTTTCAATCAAAAGTGAAAGGAAGTGAAAAGTTCCCCTTCAAATTTTCTTCCATTCGAAACAAGGAAAAAGAGGATTCAAATAGAAGGTATATATGATATAGGCTAGAGAATACAATGAAAAACATCACTCTATGCAGTATACTACTGCATTAGACATAGCATTAATATTTGTAGGCTCATGACCAAGGTAGTCAAAATCGAGATCCTACTTAGGATCGGAAAGGAAAGAAAAACATGTAACTCGTGGGATCGTAGAGTGGATCGTAAGATCCTACCTAATGTATAAAACTATATTTAAACATATAAATGCATATAAAAAAGAAGATAAATAAGGAACAAATACTCTTAAATTCATAAAAGACAATCATAACTCAAACATTAATGACAATAAATATGTTTTCAAGTCAATTACACATAAAACTCAAAATAGTACTAAAGTAAAAACAAACTAGTCAAAGTGTCCAAGATTGGTATTCCTTATTCTAACAAATCATTCATGTTTTGATCATACTAATCATCTTCTATTTGGTCTTCATTTTCTTCATCTCCAACTCCATCAAGGTTATCATCAAAAGTAGGAATCTCTAAATCATCTAAATTTACAGGATCATCATCAGCATCATTGGAATCATTTCCAACTTGACCCAAGTGTTCATTTGGATTCAAATCCAAGTCCAATAAGTCATCAACTTCTAAATCATCAGCATTGGATGAACTTTCATTCCCCATAATCCATTCATCATCAGATGAAAGATCATCAAGATTAAAGTTCATAACTTTTCTAGATGTCTTTTTCTTGGCCAATTTTGAGTTAGCCATCACATAAACATCATTCATAGTTTGTTGTTTCAAACGATTTTGTCTCTTTGTGTGGACCTAAAAAATATATAAATGCAATTGATCATTTGCTAGTGCTTAATAGGTAAAGAAAAAGACTGCAATTTCTCATAGACTTAAAATTTTACCATCTCAAAAGCACTCTAATTATGCTCACATCCAGAGGAGCTACATGTCAAGTTCAATATACGAATAACAAATCTTTGAAGCTCTGGATGTCTATCTCCATAATATTCCCACCATTGTGTTGGAGTTTTGATATTAGTTTTAAGTGCATTTAGGGTTGCCTTGCCACCAAAAATCTTCTTTTTTGCCTTGAAATCTTCAAGTTGAGCATCAATTTTAGTCATTTCCTCATCATTTTCTACCATCCTTTCTATACAATCATATAATCCACGTTTAACTTCAAAATCCGCTTTAAAACCAAGACTGTAGTGTAAAAAAAAATTGAGGTAATAGGCTGCAGCATGCAATGGCCTATGGAGTTGATTGTCCCATCTTTCATCAATGACATTCCATAGAGGGAGATAACTAATATATGAAAAAATTAAATTAATTTTCAAACAAAAATAACTAAATTTTTTAATTAAACTTAATAATTTATTTACCTTCTTTTACTCTCATTGAAGGCCTTTACTATCTTCTCTTTAACTCGGTCCATTTCCTCGTAAAGGAATGCCATAGCTGGAATCTCATTCGAATCAACCAAACGAAGAAATTTGATTATAGGATATGCACCTCTTAAGCAAACAACAACGCCTTTCCAAAAGGTTTTATCCATAATCACATCTTCAACAAACTTTTCGTCTATTGATTTAGCAAACCAGCTAGTCTTCCATTGATCAGATGTGAACATTCTAACCAATGCTCCCTTGTGCTCTTGAAGACATCCCAAAGTAAGGTAAGACGTAGCAAAGCGAGTCATGGCTGGTCTCACCAAATCCCTTCCCTTTGTGAAGAATTGCAATAAAAAAATTAGGGAAGTCTTTAAATAAATATAAGTAGCAATTTTTTTTCCCTTTGAGATTGTCTCTTGATGAATGGGTAACTTCTTCTCCAAATCCTCCTATATCAAATCTATGTAGTGAGCAGCACATGGTGTCCAATACAGTTTCTTCCTTTTCTCCATCAACAATTCACCCGCAGCCTTGTAATTTGCTGCATTGTTAGTCACAATTTGAACCACATTTTCTTCACCAGCCTCCTCTACAATGTCATCCATCATTTTAAAAAATTTGTCAGCTGTTTTAGATATGAGATGCATCAATTGAAGTAAAAAAAACTGTACCCATAGGGCTGTTAACTAAAAAATTCAATATAGTACTCCTTTTTTTGTCAGTCCAGTCATCCGTCATTATTGTGCATCCTGTTTTTCTCCATTCTTCTCTATGTGCTTCAATAGCTTGCATGGTCAAATGCACATGATGTTTCAAATGCTTAACTTTGATTTCATGATAGGAAGGTGGCTTGAATCCAATAACATAATTTGTAACCGATTCCAACATCTTATGAAATTCTTCACTCCTTGCCACATTGAATGGTATGACATTGTTGTAAAAATAAAAAGCAATATCTTGACACACTTCTTCTCTCAAATTGTTTTTGAATATGTTATTGAGAGTGACTTGATTACTTACTCCTCTCTTCTTGAAAATGTTCTCACTACCTTCAATTTCAACCCCTTTTCTTTTTTCACCAGAATCGCCATCACCATCACCTTCTCCAAGAAGTTCTTTGAGTTTGCTATCTGATTTCTTCATTATTTTCTCTTGTAAGGAGGACACAACTTGCCACATTTCTTTCCTCACTTCATCACTAACCGAAGAGCAAGCACCCACATCTTTCTGTGTTTTGGCCAAATAATATTTTAAACGGTAAACTCCACTTGTTATTATTGTTCGACAATAGTTGCATAGTATTTTTCGTGCATCTCCATCCATAGATAATCCATTTTGCCATGTCACATTACTCCTGTTTCCAGGAACATTTTTTCGCAAAGAACCAGCCACAACAGCACCCTCATTGAGCCAGTAGAAGTGTGACCAATGGTAGGATTTGCAACCACTCTCCTACTTTCTAGTTGCCCTCTCTGGATTGCAGGTGTACTTTTCTCACGTGCAGACATCTTCAAATAGGGCAGAAATATCAAAACAGAGGTAGGTAGACAATCTTACTTGCAAAGCACTGAACCAACCCACCACTCAATCACCCCCAAGTCCTGGTCGCATCCAAAAATGGTGGAGAAAGAGGTGATTTGAAGGAGAAAAGAGTAGAGAATGGGGAAAAAAAATTCGCGGTGCTAGAGAAGAAGTGAAATGTGCATCGCGAGTCTAAGGAAGAAGAGAAGTGGGGATCGCGGTGCTGAGGAAGAAGAGAAGTGAGGGTCTGGTGCCGAGGAAGAGAACAATGCGTCGCAGTCGGCGGTGCTGGGGAAGAGAACTTGCGTCGCAGTTGCAGGTGGGCAAGCGAGAAGGGGATAATGAAAGAAAACCCTAAAATCTGAGATTACATAAGTCAGGTCAGAAAAACAGGAGCGGGTCAAATCGAGTAATTTGGTTTTTTTTAGAAAATGGGGTTCCATCAAACTCGTCCAAGATTGCACGCTTCCACGTGGAAGATAGTGCAAGCCCAACGATCTTAGAAAAGCGCGTCACAGCATAGGAACGTGATTGGAGGACCTGCAAAAGACCATAAAATCGTCCGATCTTATGAGTTGAATTGTGGTTTCGACTACAATGCTCATGACTCACCCACTTAAGACATAATATTTGGATTTACTTCCTTTTTATCGAGGTTAAAATTATGGGGTTTTAGGTACAGAGTGAGGAAGAAAGGTGAAAGAGAATGAAATACTAATTGATAATAGAAGAATAAACAGGGAAAATGAGAGAAAATATATATTATTCCTCAAAATGAAATAGAAATACAGTAGGATGATGGTTCCTACTACTACAGAGCAAGCTCCTCCAAAGAGGTTAACACCTTTTGGTCATAACAGAATTCCAAAATATCAAAAGACGTCCCTCTCTCCTTCCCTTATATTCCAACTAGTTCTCTTGTTAATTAGCTAATTCTGTTACACCCTTGGCCACCTTAGCATTTCTTATCGCACCCATTTCTCCTCTCATATACTCTCCAAATCTTGGGCCTACTTTCAAAGTCCAGGCCCACATTCCCAATCCTAACGATATTAATTTAAATGTATTACCATTTACCATGTATCAAATTGTTGATGTGTTCCATATGTTCATAAAATCTAGAGCACTGACCTTTATTTATATAGATCAGAACCCTAACTAATTAGGTCAACAAATAACGTTAAGATAAGAAAATAAAGTAACTCATCCGCAGTTTGTGAACTGTGCCCGATCCTAACCGCTACTGCAAATTTTTTAGAAAACACAAAGATGTTAGGGGGCATTTTGGGAATTTTGGGTTGAAATAAAAAAGGCTTTTAAATGGGTTTAGAAAAACCAATTGTGCCTCTTCCCATTTCTGCACCCTCTTTTCTCTGACCCCCTATTTTTGTCAACCCATTAACCCACTATCTCCTGTGGCTTTCTGGTGAGCAATGTTATCAATGGTAGTTAATAGATCACCGCGTAAAGATAAAAACCTGCTATAAAATTATGACATATGCCATGGTAGCTTATGGTGGAAACATGGTGGCCATAATAAAATAATATAATACATATATATACAAAGAACTGCAAAGCGTAATAAAAATTATAAAAACAAAAAACTAACTACACATGTCAAAATCAAGAAAC